CCCCCCCTCACACACAAACATACCCTGGCCCCTATACTATGCCCTCACCCCCCCACCCTCACACACAGACTCCGGTACCTATCATCATCATGCAGTGCCAGATCTGCGACAGACATCGGTCATCATGGTTCTCCATTCATTCCTTTGGTCCCTATGCTATGCTAATAAGCCTGATTCCCTGTAAAGACTTCTCTTTTGACTTCCACCCCTTGGCGCTCATATGACCATATGCAGTTGCGAGTGCCGTAAAAACTCGACTAAAACTAAAACTATGCTATGCCCTCACCTCCCCCCCCCACACACACACCCACACCCCCAGCCTCTCCTAAACACACAAAGTTCTACGATATTACAAAAAGACAGGCCATCACCCACAGAAATGGGCCCAAAATATGAAGCCAAATTGCGTCTGTCCTTAAAAGAAGAAAAAAAAGAAAGAAAAAAGAACTGTAAGTGACACATTGTGGTGTAACTGCAATGACCAAGCACTTTGTAAAACAAAAAGGGGACTTAACTCGTCACTTGAAGTACCAGACTCCCAGACAAGATACAGAATGTGACCCAGTGCGTCAAAACAAAACACTCCACGCACGAACAAACGAGATGAGGAACAGAAACTAGGTCGTTTAAATGGAACGAACTACAACAGGAGAGGTAGAGAAAGACATGTAAATATTTAAGTAGAGTGCTATTTATAGCAGAAAAACGTTACACATCGGGTGGGTTTAAAGTGCGTATTGCTGTGTGTCATGATGAGACACGTGTGGTCTAAGTGGAATCAATGAAGTATCCCCCAACGCTAAAACGTAATAAAAAACCCATTAAAAAAACAAAAACAAAAATATAACCCCCCAAACCCCCCCCCAACAACAACAACAACAACAAACAAACAACAAAAATACAAAAGGCAACAACAACAGAACCTGTAAATAACAACAAAACAAAACAAAATAGAAGACAATATGACAAAAACACATTAACAAAACAAACTTTAACGAAAGAAAAACAGAAGAAGAAAAAACCCCACCCAGACACTAGACTTACAACAAGCTAACTAGAGCTTTGAGTACAGAATTTGTGCTCGACGAATGTTTACCTTTATTTGCACCTATTTACTTCTGATTTCTTTTTGGATTGGGTAGATGTTTTACGGCACTATCGACACAATTTTGGTCACTATTTCCTTCTGTCATATCGAAGATGGGCGTTACTTTCAGAGAAATGTGTGTCTCTCCTGTATTAAAAGGGGTGCTAAAATAAAACCTTACTGTAACGTACCATTGTGAGAAAGATTTGTCTCTCTCTCCCCTCTGTGTGTCTTTCTCTCTCTCTGTCTCTCTCTCTGTGTCTGTCCTCTCTCTCTCTCTCTCACTCTCTCTCTCTGTCTCTCTCTCTCTGTCTGTCCCCCCCTCTCTCTCTCTCACTCTCTCTCTCTCTGTCTCTGTCTCTCTCTCTCTCTCCATCTGTCTCTTTCCGTTTGCCGCTTACACTGATTTACACCTGCCCTACATCAACTGCGCGATATATCTTCGTGTTCTGTGGTGAGCTGCTGATCGTACATCAAAACACAAATGGTCGCTTTTAAGCACAAGGGGGATATCCGGAAAAATAATGTTTAGAGAAAATCGAAGATAAAGTTTTTGTCCCTTGTTCAGTTTCTTTAAAAGACAAGGAGAGTTTTCTCTATAACCAAACAAATACACACTAATGAAACCAAACTTCTCCTATAGGTAGGGCAATGCCCACTTTTGGTGTAGGTCAAGATTTCTGGAAACCCCCGAAATCTGAGTTAGCCCACTTGTCCTTAAAAGCGACCAATTGTCTGTGTGTCTGTCTGTGTGTCTATCTGTCAGTCAGTCTGTCTGTGTGTCTGTGTGTCTATGTGTCTGTCTGTGTGTCTGTGAGTGCATGTCCGTCCTCTATGACAGTTGGACCAACCAGGAAACAGTCTGACAGAACGAGTTATGATTCCTCTCATTATCTGTGACCTTCAAGTTCCGGGTTCTCTCTCTCTCTCTCTCTCTCTCTCTC